AGCCTTGCGCGTGGAGAGCGAGCTGTGGTTTCGGCTGGTGACAGGGGAACCGCAGCCGTCGCTGTGTTTATTGCTGCGAGAGGGGAGTCGGCAGCAGCTGGCACGTAGTCTGTACTTCTGCTTTGGAAAACAACCCCCGGGGTAACAATTTCCATTAAGCAACTGGGACATAAGCTCATTTTGCTGAGTTTCTGGCATAATTGCTACCCATGTAAACCAGCACATCAGGCTTCTCTTTGCTGCTGTGTCATTATGCGCCTTTTTTCGGCTGTTCCTTCTGGTGCCATCCCTCTCCCCTAAGCCACCGAGGCTCTCCTGGCACCCTTGGGAAAAACACGAGCAGCACCGAGCTGGGTCAGCCCAAAGGCTGCACGCACCCAAAATCCTGCCTCTAACAGCAAGCGGAAAAGGACCCCACATCCCAGATCTGGGCATTAAAATAACAGATTCGTGGCTTTTGCTTGCCTTCTCCATCACACCCGGTATTTTACAGCTCGCTGCCATGTCCCACCTCTGGCTGCCTCGTTTTGAAGGTCAAGAGCCCTCGCCTTTTCAGCCTCTCCTCCTGCAGGAACTATTCCACAGCCCTACGAACCCACATTTCACTGCGCCTTTCCTCGTTCTTCTATGCCCTTCTTGAAAGAAGGGTGCAAACACACACGGAGATTTCAACCTGCTGCCATGCCCTGGGTTTGCAGTAGAGTAACCTTTGTATCGTGCCTCAACTGTGCGAGCCCATCGCGTTCCCGGGCATTGCTTCCCTGTTTCTTCACCAGCCAGAGGATCCTCCCTCCTTACAAGCCCACCTCAGCACAGGCTGGGAAACATTCAAAATCTGAACACAGCAGGTCACTGCAGTCTCCCAAGTCTTTACAAGTCACCCAAAGACTTCTCAGAGGTGCCTGGCTTCTACAAAGCTGGCTTCGGCCTACTCAGCACTGCGGCCCCACCTACAAACGCTACCCTTTCTTGTGGGTTACACTAACCTGCCTGCTCCTCAGGCTTCCCGGAGCGTATTTTTCTGCTTCATCTCCACAAGACGAAGTTATTCTGGAGAATTAACCCTGTGTTTAGTAGCTCTGGGAAGTCAGTGCCATGCATGCAAACACAGCTGTCTGAAAAGGACTACGAAGAAGCGCCTGGGTACAGGCCCCGAGGCTATCGTTTTACACGACGGTGGTTTCTCGCTATGACGGCAGCTTCAGTTGCCCTGCCCGCTTCTAAAACCATGCAATGAATCACAGTGTGGAACAGATCCAGCAGAAAGAGGGGGGAAGAAAGTAAAGAGAGATACATTTTTCAGCCAAATAAGCTCTCTTACTGTCTGCGGGAACAAGCTGCTGAGGCCGAGACCAGCTTACGGTGATCCTACCACTAAAGAAATGCTCTGGAATGGCAGCTCGAGTCATTCAGGTGCTTCAGAAGCATCACCTGGCACAAATCCTTCGTTAAAACATCCGAGCATGTCTTTTGGCACGGTTGGGAACCGCTTACATTTTTCAGCCAAATAAGCTCTCTTACTGTCTGCGGGAACAAGCTGCTGAGGCCGAGACCAGCTTACGGTGATCCTACCACTAAAGAAATGCTCTGGAATGGCAGCTCGAGTCATTCAGGTGCTTCAGAAGCATCACCTGGCACAAATCCTTCGTTAAAACATCCGAGCATGTCTTTTGGCACGGTTGGGAACCGCTATAAAACTACTTAAGGGCTTTTATATCAAAACCAAATGCCTTAACCACCCTCCGCACCACAATCAGCAGCTAGTACAACGTATTAGAAACCGATAAAAGTTAATAAACAAAACATGAAATCGAACTGACTGCCATAAAATTCTGAGGCAAAGCAGTGGGAATTCTCTATTCGACACAGACTGAATTCTGGGATGGTATTTAGTTTTGCATTTCCACTCTGCAAGGTCCAGCCGTAACTTATACAGCTACACGGTGGGATCGCTTTCTTGGGGTTTCTTCCTCTAGGTGAACCTTCAAGCATCTTTTCAAATTACTTACGTGAGTTTTAAACTCTACCTGGTGGTAACAAGGAACTTTAAATACAGGTCCACGTGTTAAGTTTCACTGACCTTAAACCCTACCAACACTCGGCTAAATTTACTGAGGGAAGATGCTCAAAGAGCTGAGAAACTTAAGTCACTTCATGTAACTAAAAATCTCTATCCTAGTTCTCATGAAGGGAAGGTGAAGGAGCCTAATATCACATAATATTCTAATGCAAAGAAAGGAAATGAATTAAAGGCAAGATGGGAAAGAGGGAAGAACTGTCTTTTCCTAGTAGTAATCTCAAGAAATAAAACACACACACACCCTTGAATAGTTATCACTTAAGAACAACAAATCCATGCAATACACGGCCATTTCTGCTTTGCCCATGGCAGAACTGGTCCACGAGGACAGTTTAGACTCCTCTGCTTCATTCCCCAAGACACCCACGCTACCTATCTGCTGCCACTTTCTCCTTTTGAGGCACTTCTCACCTCAATCAGGGAGTTGACTGTGCGATTTTGCACTTCAAGCTTACCAACTGTAAGAAAGGCTTTGGCCACCACGGAGCCGTGCTCGTTGCTGGCTTCGCACGTGTACTCCCCGGCACGCTCAGGAGCGACGTTCCTAATGCGCAAGGAGCTCCAGCCTGCTTGAGACACAGAGAAGTAGGTGGGCTCCACGACAGTGCTGCCCGGCATCGCTTGCGGAGGTTTCGGCGGTTTGGAACGAAGCACCTGGGAAGGGCGGCTGGTAACGAGTCCTCTGCTGTCGTACCAACGGGTCACAGGAACGGGTAGGCCGGTGGCATTGCAAGAGAGTGTAACATCCCCGCCCTCCACCACTGTCATGCTTGCTGGGGAAGAGACCATAACTGGCCTAGAGCCTTTGCCTAGGGGGGGAAAAACAACCCAAAGAATGAATTTGGCTTAATGATGCTTAATGCCAAATGAGTAATACAATTTTCAAGAGTCACACACGCTTCTTTTAACCATTTCACAGGTATTTCTTCTCTAGGCCACTTCTCCAGACTGAGGAGATCGGCTGAGACTTGTGCTCAGAGAAGGCTGGTAGGAAACTACACTCAAACCACACTTCAAATCCGCTAAATAAGAGCCTTGACTGCCAGTGAGGAACGCAGGGCAGGCTTTGGCCATCCCACAAGCAAGCGTGTCCAAAGCATCTGCTCACCCGGCCTCTGTGCAGCTCACACCCATCCTCATGTGTAGAGGGAAGCCACAAGCCTCAGCTGCGCACAACGGGGGAGAGCAGCAACAGCCCCAGACGTGCCAACGTCCTTGTACCAGCAGAAACCCACCTCTCTAGGTATTAGGAAGGACCTTAGACTGACAAGTGATCAAAAAGGCTATTGGTATCTGCTAATCTGGTACAGGGGAAGCGTGCATTAACCCCAAATCTGGTGTTTGTTTTGTACACTTCAGGGTACGAACAAGCAGCCAACACGGCTAAGAATACCAGCTCATCCAGCCCAACAGGACCCTGAGTAAATCCTGCCAAATTCAACTGTAAACTGATTAACTGCAGCTAGTATTCTAGATTTTAAGTGTCACGTACCCATGCTACCCCAACAAACACCTGTATCTCTTCACATTCAACTAAAGCACCTCCTCCGGAAGATTTGCTACAAACAGCAGTCAGAAACAAACCGATTTATAATCTGGGGGGAGCAGGGGGGGACCCGGAATAAAGCCTGGAGAACAAAGGCTTAATCCGAGGTCTCAAGGGTTGCAAGTGCCCCTACCCGGCTGGATGCGGAGTCTCCCCGTGGACTGCGTAAATCCAACCCCGTTGTCAGCTACACACTGGTACAAGCCGGAGTCCTCCCGGGCGACGCTGCGGATCCGCAGGTGGTTTCCCATCAGCAGATGCCGTGAAGAGGGATGGAGGGGAGCTGCGTTGTGGAGCCAGGTGAGGGTCGGAGCAGGGCTTCCGCGGACGTCGCACCAGAAATGCGCAGTCGCCCCAGGGGCCACAGTTTCATCCTGCAGTCCCTTGGAGATGGAGGCAGGTTCTATAAAGGGAAATCGTTTTACATAAGCCACCGTGTGACCATCCTAGGCTAAGGACTGACAAAAAATACCACGCAACATTACAAATTATCGCCCACAAAGGCTCATCAAGCACCACGTACTTCTACTTCTATGCAGCCTAAAGCTGTTTTTCTTAAGTTTTCCTGATTATTTTAATGGTCTCTCCCTTCTTTTCCAAACAGCCACACGTTTGCATTAATACTGTAAATAAAATACATTTCAAAGTAATTCTACAATGCTACCCCTCTAACAAAAGTTGTATTTTGTGTCAACGACCTGTTTTCTGCCTTACTCTAATTCCAAAAACCCAACCAAAACAGTCGTAGAGGCAAAATCCCCCAACACAAGATTAAGAATGACTTGCAGCCAAACAAAAGAGGCCAAACGTATTTCTCCTGCTTTTGTTTTTGTTCTCATCCAAACATATCACTTCCCCTCACCAGCTTTTTGCTTATATACAGCCTCAAAAGAGAAACATCTGATCTCTGGCACATTATTGACACTGTATCCCACACTCACTTGGCACTCCGCAGAAAAACAAAGAGTTAGTTTTTCCCTGGGAGTTTGTTTTCCTTTACTGTTTGATTATTTCAGACTGCAAAGGAGTTGAAGAGGTAAATAGTTATGGACTTGCACTTGGGAGAATACAGTCATTACGAACATACCTTTCTTCTTTATTTTAACATGCTTAGGTTGAGAAAGAATGTTAGGCTGTTTGTAATCAGATGCCAAAACCAGCAAGTGTACAGAGAAAACGTTCAGTGCCTGGCCGCGAAAACGTCTTTCTTACCAAGTATAGTAAGGGAATAGTTCACGTATTTCACTACTCCAAACTCATTTCCCACCACGCAGGAGTAATTTCCAGCGTCCGATGCCTCCAGCCTGTCTGTCACCAGATGGGAGTGCAGCAGTGTCCACCTGCCTTTCCTCAGCGCGTCCCGGCCGTCTTTAAGCCAGCGGACAGAGGCTGGAGGCGACCCACTGACAACACACTCCAGCGTCAGAGGGCTGTGCTGGGGCACTGCCAGGCTCTGCAGTGCCAGAGGGTGAAGGATGTGGAAGCCACCTGAGGAAGAGCCTGGAAGAAAGGAGACGAGGCTTATCACTAGCCAGCCTTTTACACCGCACTCTCCGACCCCAGACCTGAGCTTTGCCACGTCTTTCAACCACGGCTACTTAGACTTGAGACTAAGCACGATGCTGTAACGCTCTCTTCCAGAAGCCTTGCTCCAAAAGGGGTTGGGCAACTGCAGCATCAGCAGCATGCCCTTTCCGAGGGCTAAGCGCTCGCTCTTCTCGGGATCCGAGGAGCAGCCATGCTGCTCCTCCACAGCAAGGGGAAGTAAGAGTTGAATGCGCACATAGCACAGAATGGATTTTACGTAACATGGTATTTGAGACCAGGAGACATTCAGGCTGATGTGCCCACACTGAGGTCTTGGGGATATTATTTGTTCAGTCTGAGGTGTATTAGTTCTGGAAAGCTGAACTGATACTCACGTGTGACTATGAGCTTGCGTCCGGTGAGCTCTACTCGGAGATCGCCAGTAACCGGGTTGTATGCAGCACACCTATAGGATCCTCTGTCTCCTGAAGATACATTCAAAATCTGCAGGTTTCCAGATGGAAGAATTAGGTAGTTATCTAAACGAGCGGGGAAAGAAAAGAGATCACACTTAATTTAGGAAGTCTTTAAAAACAATTTAAAAAGTTTCAAATAAAGTAACTTGTCAGATATATCAAGCCATTCTAAGCGTGGGATCACAAGGCAATCATGCTGCCGTGCCAGGAATACTCGTTTACAAAGGTGGGTTTAGATAAGGTGAATTTGCACCAGAATTTCTGCAAGTTACTGGAGTTTTTCCTTTAAGTTCTAAGGAAAACCAAAAAGCTTTTGTTAGGTATTTCTACCGCTGACCAGCAGCACCAAACCCCTCACCTGTCGATTGTTCCAGCCACTTGCCCCGCACTTGAAAGCGAACCTGTGCTTTGGGGTTACTTTCCGGCACGTGGCATCCAAGGAGAGCCGTACCCCCTTCCTCCGCTGCAACGGCGGGCTTCGCCGACGTGTCGAAGGGAGCTAGACCTGGGAGGGAATCGATGAAGGGTTAAGTGCAGGCACGGCTTGGGAAAGGGGAAGGGCTGTAAAGGAGATATTTGCGTTTAAATTATAGCTGGGTTCGAGCTGATGCTCTTCCCAGGGGCCGCATCCGGCCACGCTCTCAAGGAGCGCGCTCCAGAAGAGCGTAAGCTCCCCCACGTGCGCCTGCTCCCTCACCACGGAAGGGGCAGCTTTCACGTGGGAATAGCGAGGAGAGAAAGCCGTTCCTATGTTCCCTCAACGGCTCCAGGAAAAGCAAGCAGAGCCATCTGAAAGGCGGCGGTGCCACTCGCGGGCTCTGAAGGCGCTCCAGAAGACAATTTACACTAACAGCAGGAAGCCTGCCCCCAAGAAACACGCAATTGTCTGTCTGCGATTATAATTAACACGCCACCGCGTACAGCAGCGCCTCCCGCTCGTTCCATGAGCGAGGAGGGAAGCAGGAAACCTCAGCAGCAGACAGCACCTTCTGAGTTTGCTACCAAAATCCCCAAAGGAGGATAAGAGCATGAAAGCGGCTCTTCCACTCCCTTCACCTTCAAAGCATCTCTAGTTTGGGAAGTTTTTCTACGTTAGCCACCCTTGGAGCTCTCTTGAGAGGGTCTTGCTATGGGTCAGTACTTTACCAAAACACTCCCTTCTCTCATTTTTAAGAAAATTGCCTCCCAGGGGAGTTTTGGACATGCTCCATAGATGAGGTACCCTCACAGAGAAATCACTCAAATCCTGCTCAACAAAGGACCGATTCAGACAGCATGGCGATCTCAGGCAGACAAATCCTGCTCAGAGGAATACTACACCCCCATTCTCTGCACCACGTTGTCCTTTCCACGTGGAAAACACTGCCCTTCCTCTTCTGAAGTCCTTGAGCATCAACTGATTTATAGCTCCAGCACTAACAACTGAGCAGAACAACACTGAGAAGGAAAACTGCCCCTAAAAGGACAGAAGACTGTCCCCACCTGAAGAACATCTACCGATGGTTTTCACCAAATAAAGCACTACAAGTGAAAAGGAAAATTTATAGCCACCACTTGATTCTCAGGCGACCATTCCCATCCATTTCTCCTCTGACCAACTTGCAAACATGCCTCTGCAACGGCATGGCGGCTCAGTTGCTGCTTCAAGAGCCTTTCTGAACAGAGGCCTTTGGGAACCTTGCACTTTCAGGTGAATTCATTAGAAAGAATGTTATTTCATTGAGTAATATTTATATTTGCTTGAAAAGACTCAGTCTGTAGCCCAGCCTTCAGCTCCAGAAGAGGCTATCACCAACACTAAATCGATCAGCCGTAGTTTTGTCAAGTCTTTAAAAACCTCCAAGGATGGAGATCCACAAGGTCTCCAAGGAACCTGTTCCAGGGCTGCATCACCTGACAGGACTCAGGTGACACAGGGAAAAAAATTGGTGAGAAGTACACAACTGATCATACGCTAAGTACTGGCTGGAGGAAAAAAAAAAAATACACCTTGAAACAAGGTGTTTTCTAAAACTCACAGATAAAGAACCCACTTGATGTCTGTATCATTTGAAGAATATAAGGAAAAATTGAACTTACTGCCCATCGATACCATTGCAGGGCTGCTCACGACAGCACCCACGCTGCTCTTAGCCACACACTGATAGCGACCAGAGGTTGACAGGCCGAGGGAGACGATTGTCAGAGATCCTGACTGGATTTCCACTTCTCCCACCTTGCTGTCCAGAGGCTCCCCATTAAAGAGCCAAGAAAGGCGAGCTGTGGAGGGCTCGGCAGAGCAGTGGAGTTGTACGGGCCCACCAGACTTCTGCACAGTAGACAAGGGCTCAGAAATAAAACGGGGAGTTAAATCTGAAAAGGATAAGAAGAATTGTATTCAGTTATCAAACAGCATTTTGCATGAACATAGAACCACAGACTGGTTTGG